AGGGGTCCCAAAATGGGGCTGAGAGGGGTCCAGGGGTCCCAAAATGGGGCCGAGAGGGTCCTGAGGGCAGTCAGGGGGCCTGGAAATGGAGCTGGGGGTGCGGGAATGGGGCTGGGGAGGGTCCAAGAGGTCCCAAAATGGGGCTGAGAGGGGTCCAGAGGTTCCAAAATGGGGCTGAGATGGGTCCAGAGGTCCCAAAATGGGGCTGAAATGGGTCCAGGGGTCCCAAAATAGGGCCTAGAGAGTCCTGAGGGCAGTCAAGGGGCAGAAATGGGGCTGGGGGAGGGAAAGGAGACATGGGGAGCGAGATGAGAGGGGTTTGGGGGTCCTGAAATGGGGCTGGGAGCAGTTCAAGGGGTCCCAAAAGGGGACTGGGGGTCCTAAAATGGGGTTGGGGAGGGTCTGGAGGTCCCAAAGTAGGGCTGAGGCGAATTCGGGAGTCCCCAAATGGGGCTCAGAAGCTCCTGAGGGGTGTCTGGGGTCCCAAAATGAGACTGAGAAGGGTTGGGAGTCCTGAACTGGGTTCCAAAATGGGGCTGAGGGAGGTCAGGGAATCCCAAATCAGGGCCGATGTGGGGGCCAAGGGTCCAGAAATGGGGCTGAGGGGAGTTGGGGAATCCCAAAATGGATTGGGGTTCCCAAAATGGGGCTGAGAGTGATCTGTGAGTCCCAAATTAGGGCCAATGACGGTCCAACAGTTCAGAAATGGGGCTGAGGGGAGGTGGGGAGCTCCAAAATGAAAACAGGGGTTGCAAAATGGGGTTGAGGAAGGTCTGGGGATCCCAGAATGTGACTGAGGGGGGTCAGGGAACCCCAAAATGGAACTGAAAGGTCCCAAAATGGGACTGAGAAGCTCCTGAGGGGCATCTGGAGATGCTGAAATGGGGCTCAGCGGGATCGGGGGGGGATCCCAAAGTGAAACTGGGAGCAGTCAGGGAACTGGGCATCCCAAAATGGGGCTGAGGGGGTTCTGTGAGTCCCAAATTAGGGCCGGTGTGGGGTTCAAGGGTCCGGAAATGGGGCTGACGGGAATTGGGGAATCCCAAAATGAGAACAGGGGTTGAAAGGGCTCAGTAAGGTCCCAGCATGAGGCGGACGAGAGTTGGGGGTCCCGAAATGGGTCCCAAAGTGGGGCTGAGGGGGATCGGGGGGGCTCAGAGTGCC